GAAGCTGCAGATTTGGGTGTTCAGGCTGTCCTGCTCGTGTCGGGTACCGGGAAGAAGCCGAAGCGCGATGCTGTGAGCTGCTTGCGCGAGCTCGCTGCCGACGTACGCGAAAGCCAGCTGAAACTCCCACGTCTGGGTGTTGCATTCAGTCCATTTGAAGATCCAGAAATTGAGCAAGCACGCTTGAAGGACCTGGGCTTGGGGTATCCTGGGGTTGACTGCTCCTTTGAAAACTTTGGGTGGTTTGGACATGTCTCCATTTTGTCTAGGTTCTTGTTAAAGGATGTAAGTTAAGTTACTAGAATAATGGGAATTTATATGGTTTCCTTCTTGCCGTAAGTTAAATTGAACCCCTTCGGCAGAGAGAGAGAGAGAGAGAACAAGTTATAGTGTTACACTCCCTCAAAGCCCCATAACAAATGTGGGAGCCATGAGCCCGGGGGGTTTGAACGCCCCGTCATGCCCTGCAGAAGAAGAAGAGAGACCAAGAACCCAGTTTTTTGGGGGTACTCGGCCAGAGATTCGATTTGCATGCATTCGTGGGAGGAGAAGTTAGCATCCGGCCTGGTAGATTCAGTCTGGCTGCAGATTGGCTCTGACTTGGAGGCTTTGCGCGCTGGGCTGGAGTTCGTTAGAGATGCGGCAGGTGGGTAGTTGTCAAAATTAGGGTTCCTTTTTGGGTACCCTAAATAGTAGGTGCCGTATCATAATAGGGACCAAAAAGGGACTCCCCCTAATTTTGACAACCACCCAGGTGACATCAAAATTTACGGCTCTGTGTTCGTGCCATCGCGGCAGCTGCTGAGCAGGACTGGCCGTGGCCCTTGTCTTACCTTTGGTTAGTAGGGAATGGAGGAATGGGGTACACTTATAAGTACTATTACTACCGTTCTTCCATTCCCAACTAACCAAAGGTAAGTTGTGCCGTCAAGACGTTGTTTCCCCCTGGCCCACGGCCTTTGCACAAGCTTGGCACCATTCAATTCTTCCCTCAGCCCTAAGTCCGTAAGCTTAAGTAGAAAGTACTGTGGAGAGTTTCCAGGATGTGCTGTTCCTCGATCGCTTCGCTTTAAGGAGATGGACTCTTTAGGGCCTCCCTGCAAAGGTTTCGCGAGCGCCCATGGAATGGAGTCGATCTTACCCCCAACGGCTACCTGGAGTCCCTTGAGAATGCCGAGAAAGTGACCGAGCAGATCTTGCAGTTGTATTCCCAGTTCGCTGTGCTACCATTCGTGGAGAGCCCTGTGGAAAATGCCTCTGCGCTCCGAAGCATGACGGCTTCTAGGTAGGGCTTTGGGACATTTTATATTTTCCCTTATTGGGCTTAAGAGGATCTTATTTACTAATATTTTTCAAAGGCTTTAAAAGCCCCACCTAGGCTTTGTTCCGAGATCCGCAGGAAAGCCTTCTAATCAGCGACGACCCATCACAAGGAGCCAGGGAGGCCCTGCCTGTAAGCAAGGACACTCCCAGCGAAGGTTTGGCCCTCATGTGGTTTCTTTGTCATCGTTGGGTAACACTTTACGTTTTTAATGTGTACTTAAACCCAATAAGAAAGGACCCAGTGCCTGAAGCCATGCCTGCCTTGTGCGAGTGTGTGAGTCGAAACCCAATAAGGAAGAAAAGCTGTAATCCTATCCCAACCATGAACTAAGGAAGAAAAGTTGTACATTTTTGATCATTAATCCTATCCCAACCATGAACTTAGGAATAAAAGTTGTGCATTTTTAACCCTATCCCAACCATGAACATAGGTTTCGCGTCGATCTGAGAGTGCACGACAACCCTGCCTTGACCGCTGCAGCGCGGCACCCGGAGCTTCTCCCTCTTTACATCGCAGCAGCTGAGCTCTTGTTGAGGGGCTTGTTTTAAGTTACCAGAATGAGGGAGCCGTACTATGGGTTTAGGGTTTAGGGTTAAGGGGCTTGTTTTAAGTTACCAAAATAAGGGAGCCGTGCTATTTACGGTAGACCGGCAGATCCCCACTGTGGTAACTTGAAAGTTAAATTCCTGAACAAGACCCCAGGCAGAGGAAGAGGAAGTGGGGGGAGCGGCCCAGGTGTGGCTCAAGGAGTCCTTGAAAGCCTTATCAGCGACGTTGGAGACCATGGGCTCAAAACTCTGCTTACGTCGTGGGGTCGTCTCTGAGGAGCTGAGATCTCTCTGCCAGCAGCTGAAGGTCAGAGCCGTTTATTTCAATCGTCGGTATGAGCCGTGGCTGAAGGAAGCAGATGACCGAATCTCCAGCGAGCTGCAGCAGATGGGCCTGGTCGTGCATAGCTTTGAGAGCTACTTGCTCTACGAACCCGAGACCATCTCGATGAACAGCGGCTTTCACCACGGCCATTGGGGAACCTTGCTGCCTTTCCTGGGGGCCTGCCGCAAGCTGGGGCAGCCCCGGAAGCCCTTACCCAAGCCGGCGACACTTCCATCAAGCCCCGAGCTGGCCCAAGGAATGACACGACCGCTGGAGGAACTCCACCTCGCCGAAATCCGACCCGGCATACGGGATTGGAGTGCCCCCATACGCGAGGCATGGGACTTTGGCGAAGATGCCGCACTCTCGCAGATGCGTTCCTTCGTAACGGGGCCACGCCTTGAGAACTATGAGAAGCAACGGAGCCGGGCGGACCTGGAAGAGAATCCCAACTCACGCTTATCGCCCTACATCCGATGGGGCCAGCTCTCCCCTCACGATCTCTATTGGGCCGTCAAGTCCACGGGACTTCAAGAGAAGGACGTGAAGACCTTTCAGCGGAGGCTCTTCTGGAGGGAGCTCGCGTACTTTCACTACATGGTGTTCCCTCGCATGCGCCATGAGCCAATCCGGTCGAGCTACAAAGATATTAGGTGGAGCCGAGACCAGCAACTGCTCAAGAAGTGGCAAAAGGGGTCAACCGGATTTCCGCTGGTCGATGCAGCTATGAGGGAGCTTTGGCAAACTGGTTGGTGTCAACAAAACATGCGGATGGTGGTGGCCTCTTTCCTGGTAGAATACTGCAACATTGACTGGGTCAAGGGTGCTGAGTGGTACGAGGACACTCTGGTAGACGCCGACATTGCGATCAACAGCATGATGTGGCAAAATGCTGGACGTTCTGGCATTGATCAATGGAATTTCGTGATCTCTCCTGAAGGCGCGAGACTCGGTTCTATTGCAGTTTCATGCTGGCACTCGTAGCAAGTGTTCCTCAGCGACTGTCAAATGCCAGCATTCCGCAGGAACTGTTGAGAGATGTTGAGAGAATCCCGTGCCTGCGACACCTTGCAACTCGCCCTGCACATCCTGGAACTCCTAAGGTGGGTCTCAGGACCCTTCGGGTGCCTACGTCCGACGGTGGGTGCCCGAGCTGCAGAAGCTGCCTAGGCGATTTCTGCACAAGCCATGGGAGGCATCAGCAGACATCTTAAAATCAGCGGGTGTTGTCCTGGGCGAGACGTACCCTTTTCGCTGTGTCTCAGATTTGAAGTCGGCACGGCAGCTTTCCGCGGATGCCGTGGTGGACATGCGCCGTGGAATCCTGAGCAGCGCTTGGAACGATGCCGAGGGCTATGACGTCATCAGCCTCCCCGGGGGAGAGCTCACTAAAGTCTTCACGAGGCGAGAGTTCCGCCTGCCAAGGTCCGATGTGCCAAAGCCACGGAGCCGCAAACGCTCGCCGAGGCGTTCTGCCAGCAGATCTCGATCGAAAGTTGCGAGGCGTGCATGCCAGCAGTCACTTGCAAGCTGGGTCCTCCGCGACCCAGGCCGCACCGTCATCGATTTAGACAGCTAACTGCTAGATACGCTTATTGAAAAGTTAGTGCTGAGGCCGAGGGGCCCAGAGCCGCACGAGTTCCGCTCTGGTCTTCTCAGAAATTCGCTGCATTTGAATTTTCTCTTTCCTCTCGACGCTACGCCTTAGATGCGAAAGCGTCCCTGCCATCAAACGATGGACGCTGCTCTCATTTTCGCGCGCCCTTCTGGCAAACAGCATGTTCTGTGGTCTCGCACAGAGGGGCTGGAGCTGGAGCCGCCGTCGACTCCGCAACAACTTCCGACAGGTTTATTAAAACCCACCTACTACCGTTATACTACCCTGATAGTACCCTACTGTATACAGTGCCCTTATAGTACCCTTTGAACCAACTCTTACAGCAATCGAGAAACCCCTTCATTGCCATAGAGATCTGCTACTCGTAAAATAGGGGAGGGCTAAATAATAATTACCAATACTATTTGGGGCTTCCTGATTATATTTATAGTATAGTGGCGCCCAAAACCCGATTCTAATTCTTAAGGCCCCTGTATCATAGAACCCTACTATAGATCCCCTATAGACCCCTTTACAGGACCCCTTTAAAGGAACACTATTTGAATACCCCGCCAGGCTGCCAGGGCCAGCCCACCGCGACATCATCAGCCCGGATGCTTCAGGCGCAACCCTGGAAGCAGGCGGGCTGCTGCACACCCTTCTATTGCTGCTCTGCGTTCACTCGTTGCAATAAGCATGTCCTGCCTTATCTATCTATCTATCTGTCTATCCAGTGTCTATCTATCCACATATGTATTCGTAGTGACATGTAAACCTGCGTAGTCCTACGTGACCATTTGTTGTGCTTGCGCGGTCAGTGGTGCACAGTGCAGCCAGGTTCTGAGAGCGCTCGGCATCGAGGCCGAGGTGGATGTCCGGTTGCTCTTGTACCGGTTACTATGGTTGGTGTAGTTCTTATTCTTCTTAGTGTTAACATTGCTGTTTTTATGATTGCTACGGTTGCGAGTGCTCACATGGAGTTGCCATGGTGTACAATACTGCGGTGCTGAACGGCTCAAGCAGTAAAACATTTACGTGAAGCGGAGAAAGTCTTCGATTCAACATGGACATGAACATGAGAATCGAGCTCTAGGCTTGGACGGTTGAATGCCAGTTGCTTCCTGTGCACGCGTCATAGAGCTAGCCAGAGCAGAGCTTATCAGCGCTACCATCACACAGCACTATGTAGTCGACTTTTCCGCAGCTATGGCCCGTAGAAGCAGACGTGCCGAAGAGTCAAGTGACCCTGCGATAAAGTTGTTTGTGATCTCCAGCGCCTGGCCGTGCAAGCCGACGCATTCGCCTTTGCAGCCCCTCGTCTTGCTGCACGGAGCGACGGGTCCTGTGGACTTCACGGGTCCAGAAAGTGCATGCCACCAGCACATAGGGCTGGCGAGGTCGGTCTTGCGACGCGACAAAAACGACCTGCTCTTCGTGATAGATGTATCTGACGTTGCTTCACGCCAAGATTGGCAAACAGGAGTGGTCCGGCCAGCAAGGTCCAGACGGATGCTGGAGCGTTGGTTTGCCAAGTTCAATCCCAGGGACGCCACGGTCATCGCATTCGGAAACGATGCCGAGCTATGGGTGCCGCTGGTGAGACTTCACGACGAGCAGCGCATCTCGAAGCTGATAGTTTGCATCCTGGGCGCTGGATTTAGCATGGAAGCGCTGGTGGACGCAATCGGTTCTCAGAGCTCAGTGTCAGGGCTTGACTTGGAGGATCTACACTTCACGTTTGTGGACGTCGACATTAACCCCAGATCTAAACAGTTGGTCTTGCACTCAGCTGGCTATCACAAGCACGTCATCATAGCTATGCCACCTCTCAGCATGTGCCTGCATTAGAGTGCTAGACCCATGTCCAAGGTGCAAACTGGACATAATGTTACACTGTCGGCCGTGGAGAGCTTCCGAAGCTTGACCCCGTCTCTTCCACCTCAAGGCTTTCCTGAGGCAATTTTTGCTTGGCAATCTCTGGGACTGCAGTCACCGGTCTCCGCGGCTCCGGAAACCATCCCTGCCGATGTAGTGGCGCTGCTCAACAACAACTTAGAGCAGGATGCCTCGTCTGGCACTTTCTCGACGCAGTTCCTGGCTCCAGGCATGGCATTTTCCGGTCTCATCGTGAGCATCCAGACTTGTGCCTATGACGAAGATGCGACTGTGTTGAGAGCGCTGCTAGCCGACGCGCATGGATCCGTGGAAGGCCTCTTCCCAACGACCATGGCAAAAGCGCTTCTTCCAGGCAAGTCTGTGCCAGTTTCAGGGAGAGCCCTTTCGCTTCAAGGCCGCCTACTGGTACTTGGCCAACAAGTGACCTCAAATCAAGGCCCGCGGAACGGCTACATGCCGGTGTCAGACGGGAGGCGGAATGTGTCGGATGTTTCCAGAAAGTTCGGCTGCTTAGTCCTTAGAGGACGGAAGTGCGTCCTGGCGCGGGATGCCGACAGGCAATTGTAAATACCGGTCGATGAGCCACGGAATTCTGAGACGGCACAGCAAGCGGCAACACGAGCAGTAGCCGAAGCTTGCGATATCTACCCCGAAGAATTCGCATTGCTTAGTGATGTTCCACCTGCTGTTTGCTACGAGAAGTTCGCTGGTCAATCGAAGCCGCTGGTTGTCTCAATATTCGCAGCAGTGGCAACCAGCCCACCACCACCAGGCAGTGCTGAAGATGCAGATACCATCGAAGATCCGGAAGACATGTACGACTGGTTCCCCTTCGAACAGGCGCTCTCCCTACTGTCCGCAAACGAGCGGCACGCCATTACCAGGCTAGCATGCGGAGCCTCGGCTTCCATCACTGTCCCGTCCCGGCATGTCTGCTTGCACTTAGTCTTCGGTTTGTGCATTTCCAGGAATCCTGATTCACAAGTCCCAGGGTATGGATTGTGCCATGTCATGAAACCCAACCATTCTGCGGTCGGGCAACCCCACATGTACAGCCCAGCCACATGCATCTGCCACAAAAGAGACGGCAAGAACAGGCGGTCAGAAGCACCAGCTATGAGAGAGTTGGGATGGATGGGTTCTTGGAAGTCGTCGACACACCGCACAAAATCCAGGAAGGGGTTCTTGTTTTCTTTTGCCGGCGGAAGATTGACATTGCTTGAGTTTGCATGCCTGCATCATGCACCCTCCAAGATGATCTAAGAAATCTAAGATGTGGCCTGCGCTGTGGATGCTGGCATTGTCACCGTGGACTTCCCATGCGCGTTCGGCCGTGGTGCCGGAGTTGGACAAACCTCGCAGACCCTGATCCCGCCACCACCAGGACGCCTTTGAATTAGTGCGTGCATCTGTAATCGGCGCAAGTGTGAATCAAGTGCATAGTCTGTCAGTTGTGCCATGCTGTTGTTTTTCTCTGAATTCGTGGGTCTTTTTGTTGAACACAGAAGCGGACAGCAGTTTGATATGGTGTAATGTGTCGGTCTGTGTAGATGTGCTCGTTGGTTGAGTTGTGTAGAGACTCAGTTTATCTATCCAATTTAAGTCTGTGCATGTCTGGAGGCTTTGTATGTGCACACGCTTCTATATCTTGGCAGGATGATACGATTAAACTCGCGAGACCGAGGCCTACGGGTGACTGGTAATGTACATCATGTAGAAAGTTTGGCTTTTTAAAGCAGTGATGATCACGGAGGCGGTACCTCCTCATGAACATGCTCCGAAACTTTTTGGGACCCAGTACGGTACTTCCAACTCGAGAAAGCCTGGATTTATAGAAGCACGGGGTTGTGAAAGTCCGTGCTGCTGGAAACCTGGAATGCTGTTGTTGCGTCTTCCGAGATGTGGTAACTTGCCTTATGCCTTCCCCAGACATTGAACCAGATGTGGAGGCCCGTCGTGCTTGCGCGGGTTGCGATGCGGTAGCCATGCCGACAGGCATAAGCGAATACGCGAACCCGCCCAGCGAGCGAGGACCAGCACAAGGTTGGGATGCATCCCAGCAGTTCCGTCGTCCCAGGGCTGCAAGCACGCGATGTGGCCGTGCTGGCTTCAGCATGCGAGCTGGTGGATGCACTGTCACTTGAGCCCAATCCAGCATGTGCTGTATTGTTCTTACGGCGTGTGCCACATGGGCCATACGCATATGATGTACGTGTGCTTTCCGCTTTCCGAGGCTGGATGCTGTTGAGATGTCGGATGGAGTGCGGACAAATGCTCGCACTGCCACTTTCTTTTAGTCTGAGGCTGAGGAATTCGGCCGTTCTGGGGCCATGCCATAAGAGCCTCGGGAGCCGCACGAAACTCTCGCCCCAAGCCTTGGAATGCCAAGATCGGCACCAGAACCAGCAGCAGCTGAAAAGACTCGCGCGCATGCGCCTGGATGCCTGTTGATCATGTTGGAATGACTCGAAACGCGTCATTACAAGTCAGTTTAATCGTAGCAGCTGCTGGCCGCACACCAGGGAGGAATCATCCGGCTAGATTGGTCAGGCACTGGGGGGAACAGCGCGGATGCTATGCGATTTCTGTGCGAGTGCGTGCCTCAGAGGAGTCATCCTAGGACAGTCAGCCGGGTTCAGCAAAGCTGACGGACTAGCGCCTGGACGGAGTAGACTAGCCGAATCAGCTCAGCGGCTTCTCGCGTCTTTTCTCCTGAACTTCTGACCAGAGCAGGTTCGTCGAAAAGGAGGAAGCACGTCTTGGGCTTGGCCTCTCTTCTCCCAGGCCAGGCAACGTAGGAATCGTTGGACTCTCAAGGATGTCTGCCTTCATAAAGACTACGGGGACTACAAGTTCAAGTCATGATTGCTCATCACGACCAGAAGCCGAAGCACAAGAGGTATGAAACATGACAGCAACAGACAGCATGAGACGAATGAAGAGAAACTGACGGCAACGAAATCGCTGGGTTTCCAGCCAACCCTTCGCCATGTCAAACTCTCACTACACAAGGCTAGGTTCTCGTTGAGGGCTTTAATCTGAGTTACCATAGTAAGGAAACCATATGATTTACTATAGATCCCATTTAGGGCAACTTAAACTCCTTAACAACAACCCAGAAGGGGTGCCTGGAGGCCATCTCCGTCGGGTGCTCCCCAGAGTTCCTTGACGACGCTGCGGTGAGAGCCGCTGCTCCCATTGATAATGCCTGTATCTACTTAATTATCATAACTGACATTCTGCAGACCCGACAGGGAGTGGGACAAAAAGAGTCGGAAGGATGGATCCAGGTCTTGAGCAATGGTCAACGTTCCTTTCCAGAAGCAGCTTAGGCTTTGTTCTGCAGCATCTCTTGCACTCAGCATGTGTACCGTTTCCGACGCTGCCGGCTCAAGACAGTTTTGTTGACCTCAGAATGTTTTGTTAGGTCCGAAGGCACGCAACGTGGGAGGCTCAGATCTGAGACCTGCTTGCTGGGAACTGCAGACTCACCGTGTTAGCCTGGGTGGCAAACACCGATGGAATGCATTGATATTTATATATATATATATATACATATATATACATACGTATAATATATATATATATATATATATGTATATATATATATACACATAAGTTTCTTTATATTTATATATGTAGATACAGATATTGTGCTGCCTAGGCCATGGCAAAATCCGAAGTGGATGATGTGCCCCGGGACCTGGAGGCTCGCAGTGCGATCTCTGGAGCCTGTCCACCTTCTGGTGACTCGTTCGGTGGTTCTCTGAATTCGGGTACTTTTTGGGGGTACCCTTTATTTTTAGGTGCCATATTACATTAAGGACCCCAAAAAAGAGCCTAATGTTGACAACCACCCACATGAAGTCTGGGTGACAGGCTCCAGTAGTTGTCAGTAGCCTCGCCAAACTAGACTCACTAGACCTCGGCAAGCTGTTGAGCACAACTGCCCTCGTGCTGTAACTACAAGCCAGCCTGTTTGGAAGGGCAACTTCCTCGCAAAGAAAGAGCTGCAGCCTTACGACGTGGGCAGGTCATCCCCACTCCTCCACACGGCGAAATCATTGAAACTGTTAAGTGCAGCCTCTCGAGTTCACTACCATTACTATTTAGTACTACCATTATTACTGCTGTTATTACTACTCCCATTACTATTACGATTATTAATATTATGGCCTCCAAAGCGGCATTGCCAGTGACGGGCTGAGGTGGCAGTATCCCTTGGAGCAGAGCGGCTGCCTCGAACTTTTCAGGAAGTGGATCTCGTCGTCAGAGTTGAGGAGTCTCGATGTGCATCTCAATGACCTTGCTAAGGATCAGGGTGGCTGCCGTCAGCTGCACAGGCATCCGCGCTTTTTGTGTCCGGATGGCTTTGGCAAAGCTCTTTCTGAGCAGGAAATGGCAGACAACCACCCCTGGACTCGCCGTGCAGTGGAGAAGAATCCGCGTTTCCCAGGCCTGCAAGGGCCAAGCGATTGGTGAAGACCCATCGTGATCCATCACGGCATACCCATTATCACATCAATAGCAGCAGAGCAAGCAGGATTGTCATGCACTGCTGGTAAGGCACCTCGAAAGAATAATCACGAGTATACATGTATCACACATACACATGCGCATGTATGTATGTGTTTGCTCATGATATGTGCATACATATACATAGAGAAAGAACGTGTGTTTGTGTGTGCATCAGAGCTGTAAAAACGGTTGTCGAGCCGCACATTATCTGTCCGTGTCGAAAGCTTGCCCACTCATCTCGCAAAGTCCTGAAGCCAGGCTACGTTCCACCGGAAGCCTTGTTCTGCTGGACAGAGTCTGACTTCGCCAGCTACATCAACAGCGGTGGCTTCGTGAAGCCGAAGCTTAAGTGTCAGTACTACCTGTCCCCTGAGAACCCGCAGACTATCGTGGATTTGCTGGAGCCCATCCTCAGCGAGCTCAACTGGACGTGCACGGTGGATTCCCATTCCGGCCGAGAGGAGAGCTTGGCCCAGGCCATTTCGAGGCTCTGTTCTTGAGTGCTGGGTTACTTCGGAGTTGCGGAGGTAACGGACTACATGGGAATGCCGGTGCCACGGCTGCCCGGACCTCAAAGTGTGGAATCGCTCAATTTCTCTTCGCAGATCCGCGTGGGGCTGTCCAGGAAGAAACAGGATGACGGCAGCTTGGAGGTGCTGAAGCCCAGCGAAGAGGCAAAGCTGCTCGGGGCAATGGTAGCGGGACAGCGAGTCCCACCACCACCACCACCACCACCTCCACCACGACTGCGGTAGGGCGTGAAGTTAGCAAACGATCGATAGTTCCGATGAGCGGTGCGTAGCACACCACTCTCAATCCGTATCAATTCCATGCCACATGCTCTCTGGCTGAATCGTCAGCGGCTGCGCTTCCTGTTGTTGGACTCCGAAAGGTCGCCCCAGTGTTCATCTGGGAAGCCAGCAGGAACCTGATCGACCATGGGCCCACCCTCAAGTTCCGAGGGTTCCTCGCCGGCACTCTGCTCATTCTGCTTTGACCTCCTTGCAAACGCGCTGCATCTGGAGGCTGGTCAATCGGCTAAGCGGCGTCAACATGTTCACCAAGGTCCGGGGCCCAGGACCCAGGAAGCGTTCCAATGCCCCAGAATGATCAAGGGCTTTCCCGCTACTTCCGCGCGTTACACTCAAATTTCGACCCTGCAGGTAGGCATGTTGGAGCTCATCCGGGAGCGATGCATTGAAAGGGACATCCCAATTAATTTTCCACCACCGTGGTATCCTTTGACTTTCGCTCTCCCGGATGACCTGGAGCAGTGGAAGCGACACGCAGAGGCCAGGTTCACCAAGCCAAGCCCGCTTTTGGACTCATTTCTGGGGTGCATGCAGAGATTTTCGCATAATATGGTACTGTATGGTATAGTGATGTATAGTGTAGCATATAGAACAGCATTATTGAAAACGCAGAATGGTCTAGTATGGCAGCCCGAGACCCTGGCGAGGCGAATCCACACAAGAAATGGATCTACAAGCCGAGCTGTGAGGTGATGATGTGCATCTTGCGGTGAGTTTCCTCTTGCATAGTTGGTACCTTGCGCAGAAGCAAGCGGGAACGTCTGCTAGGCAATGGGCAGAGGCATCATCTTGGCCGCGAGCTCGGATGGCCTTGCGAGCTTGTTCCGGGCACTTGCCGAAGCTCACGGTTGAGGTGAACAAGATCTCGGATGTGGACTCTAAAGCACCTCGGACGCTCACAGACATTCGCAAGGGAAGGGCCTCTACGCGGCAACGCACTATGGCAATGCCCTTGCAAGGAGAAGCCCTTTCGAACAAGATGCAAGAACGTCGAGGCGAGCTGTCGCATATCTTTCCATTGTATACGGTTAGTCAGCCCCGCAAGTAAGTTGCGAAGTTTGGAGGGCCTCCAACCACACGAAGCTATTGCATGACACCTTAAGATTTAAGATCACTTGCTGCCAACTGGAGCTCAAGCTGCAGGTCTTCGATCCAAATGAGCCACCGCTCAAGGAGAGAAACTTTGCCAATGTCGGCATCATTCAGGCGAGCGTTTAGCAAGACCCCCCAAAACCCCAAAACTGTAGCGCTGCGGTTTGGTTTTTGTCAGCTGGGCGGGTGGGAGCCTACACCCGCCTTGTCCGAGAGAGTCGAAAATCGAATTAAATCGTGCTAGCCAGCCCTCTGCTTCAGGAGTACATGGTGAACCCGATGCTTCTGGAGCAGCTTGGTAGGGATGAGTGCTTATCCGAAGCCAGCAGTGGCTCGATGAGTCCACCTCGTTGTAATCTTGTCCCGTACTTACTCGTATCTATTGTGCTTCCTTTTCTACTGTCACTGCTACTACTGTGACTACCACCACTACTACCACTACTGCTGCTCGATGCCCACCAGCAGCACCACCACCTCCACCACTGTTGCTGCCGTGATCTCAGCTAGGCGCACACGATAAGGCATGTGGTGACCGTCTTTCGGATGTGAATGCCTATGCATTTCTCACGCAGATCTGGATTTCACCCGGCGACTAAGGAACCGAAAGTTCGCCATCCGAGTCTACATGTTGGTAGCTCGAACCAAGCCGCTTCTTACGTCTGCGCCTCAGTGCGAGAGGATGACATCGCTCGCCTTTCGTCTTTCTGTCCTCAGTGTGCCTTGGGGAGCCTTACGGGCGGCCAAGGTTTCATTACAATTTTGGCTACGTCAAACGTCTGGCCCCCAGCCGTCGACAGTGTGCAGGCGTGCAAGGCACCGGATGGCAACATGCAGGCTGTGGCGAGTTTTATGACGAAAATAAATTCAACCGCGAAGACTTGTTCCGACACATCACGGAGCAGGAGCTTCGGCAAGCGAGGTGACACCAAGATTGCGTCCGGCTTTTCTGCTCCAGTCAACTTTGTGAACGGCTTCAGGAGTTTCAGAAAAAGCAAGATGACTTCGGCGGCTCTGCAGCCTCCCAGCTGCTGTCCATCGAGGACGTAGACGAATGAGAATGCAAACCGATCCTTAGTGTCACGTACTTTTGGCGCCTCAATAATTGCCAACGTTCCGTATTATATTTATAGTGCCCCGAAACCCTATTGTAATTATTAAGGCCCCTAAAGTACGAGGGCAAAGCCAGAGTCCTTTGTGCCTGACTGTTCTGACTGTGGCCAAGCGCACTTGCAAAGGACCCAAGGCCCTACACATCGGGTGGCGGCATGCTCTGCTTCACGGAATGTTAAGTTTTCATTCGAGATGGCAGGACCTGGACAAATATCTGCAGGAGAACTATGGTATACCTGCATTCAGGCTCAACTTTTGGCAGCAGGTCAAAGCGATTTGTATGGAGGCCTTCCGGCAGCAGTACTTGTTACTTATTATGAGATCCAGTCAGTTCGCGCTGAGGGTAGACAACACATGCACACCATGTAGGTTAACCTCGGCATGAAGGAGGGCATCGCCGAAAAGGCGAAGGTTCACCACTCAGCCAATCCTTGGACGGCAAACGGCTTAGGGTTTTAGGGTCTGCGAATTATGGCTGTGAGATGTTGTGAGCGTTGGAGGTTGGACAATTCGAGATCTTCGGCCTGGACATTATCGTTGATGCCGACCAGCGCCTGTACTTGCTGGAAGCAAACAGAGATCCGTCCTGGGTCTTGGACACGCAGGTGAAGAAAGCGATCATTCCTGACATGATTCGCGAGATGATGGAGATTGTTCTTTGGGCGCACAGCGAAGAAGGAAAGAACAAAGAAGCCATGCTTCACTCCCCCATGCGGGGCTTCGAGGTGCTGATCGATGAGGCATTTGACTTTCAAGCCGTTGATGTCGAATGATGGCACTTCGCCGAAGGCCCCAAGAGGCACATGCCGTTCAACTTGGGTTGAAAGGCCGAAGGCCTGTTCAGCTTCTGCGGAAGATGTAACCTTAGGCGCGCAACGAGGCATGAATGCAAAGTACACAGATTAGTCTCCTCTTCCCCCAATGATTTGGGCACATCTAGTGCCGCGGCGCTGCAGGATCAAGTAGTCTTCCAGGCCGAGAAGTACCTGAACTACTTTGTTGACTGCTTGTGACTTTGCGGTGCAAGGACACCCCCTGGACAAGCAACCAAGCCGAAGCCAGGAAAAAGGAGCAACGTCTGCAGCTCTGCACGGATGCTTGCGGCAGTGAGAGATGCTCTTGTAAAGCAGACTCCGTACATCTGCTGATTCGCGAAGCTGGACATGCGGGCGTGTTTCGCAACCGAAGTCCCGGGGTTCTTGTGCTGGCTCTTGATGCGCCGTCTTGTCTTCCCCAGCAAACTCGTCTCGGGCCTGATTACGCACAACAGAAAAGTAGCATGCTCGTGAGTACCGTGGCCCCCTTCACAGTGGCTTGCTCTCCGGCATGCAGCGTGAAAGGTGTGCAGGGAAGGCTAGAATTCATGTTGTGTCGGAGGCCAGAGCGAATCGGCCGATATGTCGGAGACACACGGTCGCACACGCGTTTGGAACAGGCACGCTGGCCTAGATGATTCCATTTAGCCCTGTCTTTGGAGGTGCGGCGTCCCGCGTAGGGTGCGATGCGAGCTTGCAAAGACAGAGGCTTGCCACCTCAAGGTATTTCTGTCCGCGTCGGATCGGAAGACAGTAAAATCAGTAAAGCCAAATGAAGGCTTCTCCAGATTGTTCACCGCAGCACGGTCCGGATCTTGCCGACGCAAGCGGGTGCCAGCATCCTCACCTGAAGCAACACAGGCATGTAGCCAAATCCAAGTTGAGGTGAAGCCGCGCCTCGCATTGCCACAGTACTTCTGGACCAAGGGACTCGGGGTTTCCTCTCAACGTGAACGCCAAACACAAGCATCTAAAGACAGAAGAACTTAAGTGCCACTGCAACACAGAGGACCTGCACGCCTTTCCACGATCCGATACAGGCTCTGCACAAGTTGTAGAGGTGACATTCCCTGCCTAGACGAGCATGACGAGGGCCCAAGTGGAAGAGCATTTGGCAGATGCTCGACTCCAGTCCATCATTCCGAAACTGGATAGCTTGGGCGTGGACGATGTGGAGGAGTTTCGGTGTCTTGCGGTTTTTGATTGGTATCCGGCCGAATGCTTTGTAAGTTTCCAACTTTCTTTCGAGATTATGCACCGCTCCGAAAGGACTTGCTGATCCTGGAAGACGGGGACGTGGACGCAGCGCAGCAGTTGAACATGGTGGAGAAGCGCAAGCTAAAGAATCTGCTGAAGACACTTCGGGGAGGTTCGTCACATGAGTCCATTGAAATATTCCATGTCAGAAGTGGCTGCCTCGTCTACGAGTCACAAGTCCAGCTGGCGGCGAAAAAATCAGAGCACTTCCGGCTCCGTTTTATGCCCATGAGCCTGTTGCAGGCAGCCGCCGGCCGACAGACACTTCTTCGCCCCTCACGGAGCCTCCTTCCGCAGTGCCGACAATGTGCAGCTCCCCGGTTTTCAGTGATTCCGGCACCTGGGACCTGGCCGCCAGTCGAGAATTTGAGGCCTGTTGTCACGAAATTCTGAGTGTGTGATCTAATCCGTCGCCACGTCTTTGCATGCTAAGTCAGCTGGGCTCATGAAGTCGTTTTGATCTGTCTGTCTCAGATGGACGACTCGTGGGTGGTGGCGGTGAAAAATGCCGATTTCACAGCTTCCAGCGACTTCAAAGCGGACAAGCCAGACATCTTTGAGGTGCCGCATTTCAAGGTCACCGGAGGCATGGCGCAGTGGCAGGAAGTGAGGAAGCTGTACCACCGTCCCATTCACTGGAGAATGAGCCCAAAAAGTGGCTGGAGGTTCATGACGATGGAGCTTCCCGGTCCCACACAAAACGTCCCCTATGCGCAAAGGTTTCAAGAGCTGCAAACGTCAGTTGAGCAGTACTGGAAGCTAGGTTTTCAGCACAGCGGAAGGAGCTACTACTTCGTGAGCTCGAGCAGCTCGTTTGCACATGCCTCCTTAAGCCTTAGGCCTCAAGCCTCTTGCAGATGTGATCAGTTGCGCGAGAGTCCAGATGAGAGTAAAGATACTTTTTGACACTATATGATGTCATATGATAGTAAAGCTAGACAGGACAACCGGAAGCAGAAGCACGTACTGAGTACTGTTTGTGCACAGGGGAAGGCTCGCGGACGTACGCAGCTTCTTCCAACAGACTGCGGTGTGTTTGAAATTTAATAACGTGTATCAAGGCAAGAAGCCTCGAAATAGGAATCCCGAGAGGGAGTGTGCGAATGTCAACCATATCTTATGATAACTTGGCATTTCGAGTCGCCGAAGTTGTCGTTCAGCTCGGCACGAGAAGCCACCAACATGATCCATGAACCTATCTGAATGTGACAGCACATGCTTAGGGAACGGTGTGGAAAATGTCTCGTAGATCGGGCCGAACTCTCTTTATGCGGCTTGGCTCCTTGAACCCGGCAGCAGTCCTGCTAGGGACGGTGTGCGTCGTCCATTCAAACTTCCCAGAGTGAGCACGGCATTGAATCAACCAGGCTGCAGTGCGGCGTGCCGTGAAATGTTTGGGCCTTCTGCCTAGGCATTGCCATGCAATGAATAAGACTAGCAATGTGAGTATACAGTATACACTTGAATTGGAAGCATATGCAGAGAAATATGTTTTGTTTTGCTATTCATGACAATACTTGATTCAGTGTACTCGTTTCAGCGGTTTCCAGCCACAGCCATAGAGGCAAGGATTCTTGGTGCACACCTGGTCCTCGTGCAGCTGACCGGCTTAGGGATGCAATTTCGGAAGCTCTCGTCTCTTGTTCTTGCATACTTGCTCTTGTACTTGAGCGACCTACACCGTGGCTTTCGGTCACTGCATCGTGAGAGCCAGAGCCAGAAGTGTTTGCTCTCCACGGCACCACGATCTCCCCTGTACTGTTGAGGCACCAAGCATCGTCTGTGCAACCTCGAGCCTGGTCGACCCTTTTTGGCTTTTGCCGATTGTAGGTTCAGGGCTTCTGCACCTTGTTGAGGTAAGCCTGCTGAATTTCCCCGCGGTCCGACGGCCTGGCTTGCAAGTCCCCCCGACGGTGGCGGCCCAGATGAAATCGGAGAGCTCATGGGTTTTCCAGGCCGTCTCAGCCTCGAGGAGACGACAAAGGAGATGCCGTACCCAGTATTCCGGTTGAGAGCACGTGGCAAGCAGCTGTTCTCAAGCATCATCGCCACAATTTCCGCGGCCGCTGTCGCGATGCAACTTCAGAGAAGCTTCGAAGAAGAAGGCCCGTTGCTGAGCGGGGCCCTAGGTGTTGCTAACGTGTACTTAGTTTAGTTCCATGATGATGTGGTATCTCAGAATTACCTCATTATTTGAGGGGCTTCAGGATTAGAAAGAGCTTTCGAGAGACCGCCAGCTAAATCAACTACACCTAGCACCTGAATTCGGACCCCTTTGGGATGAACCTTGTCTTCGGGCGTCACCGGTGCAGACTCCCCGCAATGGGCCTTGAGGTGTTCGAGACGATGGAGCTGGTGAGGCAGATCCTGCGATCCTACAAGCCCTAGCTATTGCTTCAAACACTCGCCAGGAGGACACGTGGTGTTTCTTCACTCAGGGGTTTGTTCCTGTCAGTCATCATATGCTGTACAATTGCATTGGTGCTTCCGCCCCAGACAGCCAACAGCTACACGCGTTGCCAAGAAGCCAACCTCAGTCACTAACCAAACATGTCCGAGATGCTGTCTATCCGTCGTTCAACCTGACCACCCATAGCCAGCTGGCCATCCACCACACACCTAGCCAAGTACCTGCCACCTAGCAGATCGAAAGCCTTGTTCCGGGCAGAGAGGCTGGGACTGCACCGCGTTCCCCACCCTGACTTTTGTTTGCAAATGCCAAGTTGCGGCGCACGAAGCTGATGCGGCTTGGGGTTCTCACCCACGTGTAGCGAATCACGGTCCCTATATAAGGCGTGCACTGTCCACTTCGTGTACGAAAAAAGCTTCCTGGGCCCAAACCCCCCCCCCCCCCCCAAAGCGAGGATTCCGGCCTTTCTCGGTCGATCCCTGGCTCGGCGCAGATCCGGTGTGGAGGCCTTCATGTCCAACACCATTCACACCCATCCTTTCTGAATCACAAGACACAAGACCATGAACCACAGAATAAAGGAACGTAAATATGTACAATAAAGGCCATCCCAAATTAGGTCGACTTATCGTCCTCGACGCGTGCAACCGTGAGAAAGACCAGCATGTAGGGGCATCCCAAGCCTGTAGCTCACTCGAACAAGTGGCCAGTATGCGACATCTGGTCTGGCTGATCAGAAATTGTTCCCCCCAAGTTTATTCAGACAGTGGCCTCTGCATCATGCATGACACGAGGATGTAACATGTCACATCTCAGCATGAGAGTGTCGACTGTCAATTGCCAGAACAAAAGACGATGAAATAGCGTGGTGAGCTGAGACAGGCACAGTGCAGCATACCGTAGCTTCGTTCACGACAGTATGATGCTGGATGCAGGCTAGGGCAGACTAACACAGCAATGCCAAGCATCATAACGGGGTCTGAGATTAACTCTTCGTCTTGGTGAGGTCTCAAGGGTATGCTGCTGAGTTCGAAGCGCCTCGCAGCAACTGGCAGGGTGGAAGTTCCGGAGTACCTGGGCCGCAATGTCTTGACGAAGGTACTATGCAAAGGTCTCAAGAGCTATAGAGTCAGGTAGGAGAAGATAGTTTACGAAGCATCCGCGCGCCTGATTGCATCATCTGAATATTTCCTGTAAACGACCCTGAGGAACATGCTGAAGTTCGGAGCCGCGCCGTTCGATGAGGAGCAACTCTCGGTGGTGAGCTTCAGCCGAGTTCGACCCACCTCCCTGGGTTTGGATGTCGTGCTACGTTTGGAAGCTTGTGGATGCAATGCTGATACATTCCTGAAGCAACACCAGCACTGCCTGAAAAAGATCAGCGGAATGAGGCGGGAAGACGTTTTCGGTCAGTTCTATTTTGCCGAGTATGAGAACGATCCAGAGATGGAGGCAGTGGGCGAGCACTCCGCAGAGCTCACAAGCAGGCACTACATAGGAACCTTCCTGGAAATGTTGATCGCCGGGTATGACCCAGAGCAGCATCCATTGCTGGAGGTTATCTTGCGCCAGAAGGAGGCAGCCTTGAAAAGAGCGAAGAAGCAGGTGCACATTCGAGGTTGCTGGTCTGCGCGCGGTCACCCTGAGCCTCGAGAATCTGATGCAGATTGCGAGAGCCCATTGCTAAGAGACAATGAAGTCTTCTTGATGGTGCCCTGTGACGCGGAGGACGGGCCAGCTTTGCGGTCACAAGACGATGCGGATGCCGTTGGAATTTGCCATCTGATTTCTCAACTTGTAATTTGATCTGTTGGTTGCTGTTGCTTCTCGCCTTGCTTTGTCGAACTGTTGGCTCTGTCCCGGCAGCACGGCTAATCCATGCACATGTTTCGCTAGCATGATGCAGTGGCGCCGTCTGTCCGAGCCTCCACCAAAATCTGTGGGCTTTGCAGCGCAGGAGACTGGCTGGAAGGCGTTGACCGGCCCAGTGATTGTCAACTACCTCTCGGACCGAGATCCTTACGCACTGAGGTTGGCTGTGGCAAAGGACTCGCCAGCTTTGCGCGCCAAGTGCGAGCCCGGCATACTCTTCTTCTCCAGGGTGGGATGTCCACTCCAGAAGAACCTCTCGTGGGACTTCGACGGTGACTATTTCCAGATAATCACAGACGAAGAGATCGTGAACTGTTTCTCAGGCAGCACATTGCCGATGCCGGAGCCTGAGTACGAGGACGATGATCTCAAAGACATGCCTGTGAGCAGCTGGGTGGATGTAAACGCAAACTTCTTGTCCGAGTACCCTCAGAGGGACCGCATGGGCCTTCTGCATTACCACTGGCAGCTGATGGCGGGAAAAGGGCCGAAGGCAGCTTGTTCCCCAGAGGCGAGGCAGGTGGCATCGGCATATGCAAAGTCTTTGGATGTGGAAAAGGGCAAGCGATGCCCCAAGCACCCGCCATTCGAACATGCCAGAAAATGGGACTTCATGAATGGTGGAGACCTCGACAATCCCTCCCCGACAGCGGCCGGCTTCTGTTTTCGTGCTGCTATCAGAGCCGAAGAGGAGTTCAAAGCCGTGAGGGACCGAGCACGGAGCACTGGGAAGGATCCTGACCTTGACAAGGCTGGGAAGAAAGAATTTCAAAAGCATAATCCTCGAGTTGAGCCCAGAAGCAACGTCCGATGCTCTGTCCCAGGCTTGGCAGCTGATGGAGCAGGAGCTTGGGCAGAAGCTGTGCCAACAGGTCAAGGTGCGCTCGGGTCGCTTAACCGTGGAACCTGCACAAAACCGTGAATCCACCCACCTTCTCCCTGCCATTCGGGCATTTGGAGGCGCAGGCGTTGGCCCAGGTACTTGTTGATTAGCTGGCCAGCGAGATGTGCTAACACGCAGTGTCCTATCGCTGGACAAGACTATAAGTATAGTTACCCTACTTAGAACCCTACTTACAACTACCCATGAACCTCCAAGTAGGGGGCTGCAGAGTCTGGGTTGAAAAAGAGGCCGATATCCCTTTCCTGTCCTTTCCCAGTTTTGTGCCCGGCCGTTAGGACCTTCTCTTTACTTGAGGCATGTGCAACTTGGGAGTTTCCGAAAATAGGCGTACCTTATTTACGGGCCCTTATAATATGGATCCTACTATTTAGGGTGCTATGTTTGGGTGCCCTATTTTCGGAAACCCCCATATTGAGAAAAGCGCTGACAAACTCACACAACTGCTCTTTCTCTCTTTCCTGTGCCTCTTGCTTTTCCGTGCTCTCTCTGCCGGGACGCTGTGCCCCGCGAACAGGAGCCACATGATGGCCATACGAGGGGAATCATATCAAATATCTTACAATACCGCCGGAGGTGCTACAGGGAAACTATCAGCAGGTTTATAAAAAACTACATGCAGCTTGCTGGCATGAGTTGATCATGCAGTTGCTGCCGTGCCTGGGGATCTCCAAGAGAAGTTTCGTTCAGCAAAACCGTACACCACGAGGAGTCACAGAGCAGAGGCTGAGAAGCTCCTGTTGGAATACTTTGTTGCCTGCCCTGACTTTCCCTCTACTTGATCTTTCTTTCGTTGTGCACCTTCCTGCTCCAGGAACTGGTCTTCTTGAGCCCAAACTCTGAGAAAGCTCTGGGTTTTCGCCAACCCTGACAGGATTTCGCAAATACTGTGCGTGGGGAGTTCATCGAACGAGTCAAGGCCGAGTGCAACAAGGCAGAGCGCACGGCGCGCGAAAAGCATCCTAACTCTTCCGGTGAAATCGTCTTCAAGGACGAGTGGATCAGGGAACTACGTGCCCGGACGCAGGAAAAGGCCGAGAAGCTCGTCGGCCAGCAGAAGATCGGTTTGACGCAAGTTGCATTGGCAGGATGGCATCTCAAGTACGTGGATCAAAAGGTTTGTGAGCGAGATGCAGATCCAGACCCAAGCTTTCCATGGACGTTGTTCAGGCAAGAGCTAACGGCACTCAAGGAGCACTATCAGCCATGTCCCATGGCCGAGCTTCGTCGAAACCATGGCTGCTTTCGGCGGCTCCAAAGGGGTGCAGCCCAAGAGCATGAGGAGAAGGTGTGGCAGGCCGTTGCCGGCTTGAAATTCAACATGAAGTGCAAGGAATGCTCCCGGGATAGAGAGATGCTTTTGGACAGGCTCACGTCTCACGGCAGCTTCTCTGAAATTGCCGCAGCAGTCAAAGAAGTTTCAGGACGTGGAGAGCTGATCAGGGTTGGTATTGATGATCTTCGGTATTGCAAAGATTCCATATCCGATGTATTCGACCATGGTCTGAACGCTGGCATGAAGCTCCGTGAGTTGGTTCAAAAGCTGCTGATGGAGGGAACTCCAAGCGACTTGGAACTGACGGCTGTCAAATTTCACGGGCATCTCTACGTGATCGAGGGGAACAAGCGGTTATGGTGCCTGAAGGAAGCACAGAAGGGAATGAAGGGGAAGCTTAAAGTGTCGGTGCGAGTGCCAGATCTCTATCTGGGCTTTGTTCAGCGCCAAGAGCACAAGGAGCCTGTGCTGCCGTACTTTCTGCAGAGATTCTGCCCCCGCTCGGGGGGTCGAGACATTCTCCTGCAGCACGAACAGCAGCATTCCACCGAACTATGCGACATGGCACAGGCAGCTTTGTGCACCTGTGCTCCCAAAGTCAACGAGCAGGCAGACATCCAGGAAGCCGGCTGCAAGATTCTTGGATGCGGAAAGTACAAGGGCTGTACCTATGGTGAAGCTTGCCAGGACAAAAGTTACCGGAACTGGGTGATGCAGAGCATTGGCGACACAAGCAGTCCAGAAATGCAGGACCTCAAGCGCTACATGCGTCGTGAGTCGAATGCTGAGCAGCCACATGCTACATCATCCCGGTCCAGTGTTCACGTGGTCAAAGAGCAGGCATACATCCAGGAACTTGGCAGCAAGATTCTTGGATGCGGAAAGTACAAGGGCCGCACCTATGCCGATGCTTGCAAGGACACGGGTTACCGGAACTGGGTGATGCAGAGCATTGGCGACACAAGCAGTCCAGAAATGCAGGAACTCAAGCGCTACATGCGTCGTGAGCCGAATGCAGAGCAGCCACATGCTACGTCATCCCGGTACAGTGTTCCCGTGGTCAAAGAGCAGGCAGACATCCAGGAACTTGGCAGCAAGATTCTTGGATGCGGAAAGCACAAGGGCCACACCTATGCCGATGCTTGCAAGGACACGGGTTACCGGAACTGGGTGATGCAGAACATTGGCGACACAAGCAGTCCAGAAATGCAGGAACTCAAGCGCTACATGCGTCGTGAGTCGAATGCTGAGCAGCCACATGCTACATCATCCCGGTCCAGTGTTCCCATGGTCAAAGAGCAGGCAGACATCCAGGAACTTGGCAGCAAGATTCTTGGATGCGGAAAGCACAAGGGCCGCACCTATGCCGATGCTTGCAAGGACACGGGTTACGGGAACTGGGTGATGCAGAACATCGGCGACACCAGCAGTCCAGAAATGCAGGAACTCAAGCGCTACATGCGTCGTGAGTCGAAAGCAGAGCAGCCACATGCTACATCATCCCGGTCCAGTGTTACCGTGGTCAAAGAGCAGGCAGACATCCAGGAACTTGGCAGCAAGATTCTTGGATGCGGAAAGTACAAAGGCCGCACCTATGGCGACGCTTGCCAGGACACCGGCTACCGGAACTGGGTGATGCAGAACATCCGCGACACAAGCAGTCCAGAAATGCGGGCGCTGAAGGCATACTGCGTACTCTCCTTGGCGAATTGAGTTTGAGCTTTACCTCGAGTGACCGAGCCCCAGATGCGCAAAGGACGCATCGAAAGTCATACTGTTGTCGTACGCCGACTTCGATGACTTCGCTTCGAGATGTTATTGGCTGGTCGTGCTGGTCGTCAGTTCAGAGATCAGGCTAATGCACACGGATGTTGATGCGTTGATGAATATTTCAAAACGATAGGATTTCCGTATGATTGATCCCTGCATCAACAAGTACATCAAGAGGTAACCGATAATTCAGACTAAAGAAATCAGTCAATACCAGTAGGAAATCGGTTGCCAAATCAGAGAAACTTTCATGTATTGGGATGGAGGCGACTTGAAACCCGTACCTCTATATATATATATATCATCGAAATAAAATAGATTCTACAGATACTCATTTTGCAAAGGTATAAGACATTTTAAAGAACAGCTTGCTTGTCCTTGGAAAATTTCGATATTATGTAATTTAGAAACTCATGCCATAGTTCACACAGTCTAGAGTCATAGTGGTAATGCAGGATCTATATCATCACTCGTACGTTTCGGAATTGGTGACGGTCAGACACACAAGTTCGCCTTAATTGAGAAACATTCCTGAAATCCTTGGGAGGGTGCCTGTATTCCTTTTGTAAAAGTCGGGG